GCAACCATGGTACAAACAACTATTCCGGTAACTATGGCACAGATGACCATATAGCAACCATGGTACAAACAACTATTCCGGTAACTATGGCATAGATGACCATATAGCAACCATGGTACAAACAACTGTTCCGGTAACTATGGCTCAAATGACCATCTAAAGACTGATGTAAATGAACCCATAATAATCATCGATAAAATGTGTCAATGAAATAACTATAATTCGGGTAGTTTTGTAAAACGGCTGACAAAAGCATTGAATTAGTCAGAGTCAGACCAAATGAGCAGTATGGATGTAAAGAAATCGTTTAAATTATTCATTATTGTAGGATTGATTGTGCAATGTTGTATCAATGAATATCTAATTTATTAATAGTTTAGAATTAATGCGCGAATTGAAGCATGAAATATTGATTAATAAAACTCAAATTTTATGAATAATATAATTCATATTTTTGTACGTACAAACAGCGCCAATATAATTACAAAAAAAATCGTATTCTTGTCTAATCTTATTGAGCGCTATTTATATTTATAAAAGCAAAAAAAAATAAAACAAAAACGACAAAAAAAATTAAATTTGTAAAATGCATTATCTTTACTTAGAGTGAGAATTCTCCGAATTAAGTTTTCTGCTCGCCTAAGATATACTGGTTATATTATCAATTTTGCGTATTACTTTTTTAATGTAGCTTTTTATGCTATTACATCCTTACATGTATTCTATCAGTCTAGGGCTAAGTGAATCGCTTGACGATGAACGTTACTTGTTTTTTTTACCTTATAACTAATAACCACACGTTCTGCAATTGCTCTATCAAGCATTTTTTTACACCAATCTTGCAGACATTTTGGCTTTAGTATATTTTGTTCGCATGGATGACGATAAAATATATAATCAACATCTTCACTTACTGGACAAGCCCATATATGAGCATATATATATCCATGTTGTTTAGTATAATCCAAATAACCAATTAAAATTTCATAATAAACATCTGTACGATAAATTTTCGGTTGAAAAAAATGTATTGTATCGAAATATAATATATAAACACGACGTGTATTTGGTGCAGGACAATTTTCATCATATTCTTGTACATACATACCAAAGAAAACAACATCAACACCTTCGATTTCTTGAAAAGCAAATATAGCTTTTGTTCGATATGGATAACTATATTTTGCTTGATTTGGATAATATTGTTTTAATTGTGGTTTTACATTACATATTTTATCACTTGCAGCTAATACACGAATTGTAACATGACCTGTTTGACAACCTTCATTTATTAAAAATTTATTAACACGTTTTTCTAATTGTGATGATAAATCATTTATTGGTAATTTTGATGATGTATAAGGACTTTCTTTACGTTTTATATTATATTCACGTATACATGTATTACATATAAACCCTTCAGACCATATTTGATCTAAATGTAATGCACATACTTGATGCCAACGACGTGCACAGACAATACAATCAATCATTTTTTCAGGTTCTTTTAAATCTTTTTTAGACAACAAAAATAATGATTTTGGTATTTCAACTAATGTTTGAGTTAGATCATCACCAACAAATATCGAATCACTTTTTATTGAATTAAAACATTGCGTGCAAAATCTATATTGATCATTGGATAAATTTAATCGTGATGGTTCAAGATTGTTATAATAATAATAATTATCATTAAGTAAGATTTGACAACATTGTTCCTTGCCATAACATAACATAACTGGTGTTAAATATACATATTGACGACCACAACAATAACCTAATGTTTGTAGAACAGGATCAATAGATTCAACAAATAGTTCAGCAAGTTTTGAACATATTTCATAGATAGGTGATGTTTTTTCATTATAAAGCCATATATGATTAAATACAACCCATACGCCATCAGAGAATTCTAATGGATTTTTATATTCTCCAAGTAATAATTTATTATGTATGATTGATATATCGATGGAATGTTTAATTATTGTTGGATAATCAAGTATTTTCAGTGAAATAGAATCAACTGGTTTTTGAAATGAATATGAATATTCCGAAGCAATCATTTTGTGAATAATTGGTTCAAGATGTATACGTAAATCTTCAGATGTAAATTGTACAGGATGTTTAGGTATTTGTTTACTTGATGCATCAATATGTATCGTTATTGGTTCCATACTATCATTATTCAATAATTGTGAATGAGTATAATTACTCTGTATTGTTTCGTTTTCGATCATAGAAAATCTAGAAATGTAAATAGTAAAAAATTATCAGATTTTAATTATATAAGAATGAGTGTGGATCAATACTGTAATAAAGAATGATGATGTATGATTAGTTTCGTTATATCTGTATAGATGCTCACTATACTAGTCTATCAATCAAGTTGTGTTCATTTCAAATTGAACATGAGTTTATATATACGAGAGAGAGAACAAAGAGATAAGAATGACAAAATAGAAAAGAATCAATAGGCAGTTTTCATCGATTATAAAATCAGAGTATCTAACGATATAGATTGGTTGAATGATGCTCTCTAGAAGAGATATGCACATACATCATGCGCTTATCATTGGCACAAACAAAATAAATTTACAATAGAATAAATAATCAATGTCAATACTCGTCTGGCCTGTTCTAAAATGACTTGTAATTCATCAGGACTGATCGTATGAACGAGGAATGTCGTTTAAACTAAACATAGACTAGTTCACACTTTGTCTATTCATACTTGTCAGTAAGACCAAAAAAAACTCAGAAAGATAATTGGATTCGAACGTTCTGCTTTCCACAGTGTTATACGAAGCGTCATTTGTATTATTCATGATTAGTTCATTTTTAAGAATTTAGCGTCAGTTCTAGTCCAGACTATAGTTTAAACTCTTCGAACAATTTCTTTTGCTTCGCGCTTATTTTCTAGACAACTTGTTTAGACTGATTGATATTGGAACTATCAAGGTTTATAATGTAATGTAGAAAATTTTTGAGGCAATGATGGAAAAATATTAAAAGAATAGAAAATCATTTATATGAACATCTTGACCAATGATAAAAACTTCATTGAATAAAAAGCAAAACGAGAAGATGATCAGGCATCATGTGATTAACATTAAACAATTAATTCATGATATATCCGGACGATAAATGAAACTAACTATTGTAATGCAATCCAAATGATAAATGAGATAAAATTTATAAGTGTCAAGGATATCCTGACGTCGTTAAAGTTGGGGAATGGGCATGATTACTTACGAAGTCGATAAAAAATTTTGCAAAATATGATGAGTTCGAGAGGGAGGAGACGAGTTTTTTTTTGGAATTAGTGAGCAGAAGAACAAAAAATGGCAGAGTTTTGCTGCAGAAAATGAAAATTTTTTGAAGATTGAAAGAGAGTTATCCTTCTCTCGCTCTGGACAGTTCTCATAAGGCCATATAATCTACTTCGTCTGTTGATAATGAATTTTAATTTAGAAACGAATCAAGAAGGAGTAATGCATGTGTATCAACAGGAAGGAAATTTGGAATAATGAAATGTATCTCATTCTACTGTTTCTGTATATAGAGATAGACATCCCATGTCGTCGATTTTTCATAAAAACCACCGGTTCGAAGCGATTCTTGTTCGTTTATCGATTTTCTAATAATTTTCCTTCGAAGTTAATATTTTTAGTCTTGAAAAAATTGATTGCAACTCAAAAAAATCTACATAATTATGCAACAGTAAAATCCTATCAGATGGCGCTAATGATTTTTGTATTGGTCAAGTTATCTCGCGCATAACTATTTTTATAGCGTCATCTTTAATAAAAACCTAAACTCGAAAAACCAAGGAAAGTACCAGCAGATTCAGTGCGTTTGCATATATAAGAGGCGACGATTTCAACATATTGCTAACGATTTTGTAAGAGTTTAAAAATATTCGCGCACTGTGACACGCGAAAAAATTTAGCTGACGAACCGCGGTTAACCGGCGGTTTGAGCGACATGGGATTGTACTTGCAGAAGAGGCTGACATCGGTACAAGCTTGGACCAACGAAATGAAAAATGTTTAAAAGATTAGAACCCGGCGTTTAGTTACCATCATAATTTTCGATATTTTTATTTTCGACATTTTCCTATTCATTCTTTTTGATGATTTGCATTATTTTTTACATTATCTGATTGAGAATTAGATGCTTGTAGAATATCAATCAGATAGTAAAATGTTAAAAATTTTCAATAAGAAGACGACATAAGTGAAATTGAATATGTGACTGAGGGTGTAGCTGGGTGTGGGTGTGGGTATGTAGTTACTATTGAAACGACCACCCACACCCACAGTCACACCCCAACCACACCCCACACCCCATCCACACCCACACCCTCAAATATGTACTTTTTCATCGATATTATATGTTATGTAATAATTTTTCAACATGTGCTATTAAAATGTTGCGTCAGTAATTACATTCTATTTTGAGAAAATATATTAATTAGTAAAAAGAACACGAAAGTTTAAATAATGATTTTGATCGTTGAATATGATCAAATTATATCCGATGAAGGATTTTTTTTCATTTCATTTTTACAATTTCCTCATATGTTAAAATATTACTATATATATATTTATCTTTTATATTTAGAATAAAACTAAACACTTTTTAGTGAATTAATTGAACGCAATTTTGTAGTCACGTTCCTTAATTCTTGAAAGAAAAGTAAATATGTCATATCGAAACTCGATTCATTTTTACAAAAAAGTCGACAAAACATCAGGTATCAACAAAAATGATACAATAAATAAATCTAACTTCATATCAAATCTGAATGAGTAAAAACAATGAGAAGATTTTAGATGAAAAAAAAAAGAAGTTCATTTCTAAATTAATAAATGATGTTGATTTTTCGAGCAATTTTGAAACATAATTTCTAACTATTATATGAATTAACTCTTGACAAAATAGATTTTCATTACAAAAAGACGATTCAATCTAATACAATAATTAATATTTTTCATTTCTACAAATCAGATTCGTATAATAAGCTTTACATCATTATCAGTAAATTGTTCAACTAAAATAAAATTGATATAACCAATAAAACCATCATAGACTTCAAATTATTTAGAGCTAAGGTTGTTTTTTCCTGTCAAGGTAAATAAGAGCCAGTAGTCGTTGATTATTTATCGATGTTTAAAATAGACATGAAACAATAAGTAATTTTGAATGCTGGGAATATCCTCAATTTTCTTCAATATTTCAAACACATACCACATGAGAAAAATATTTCTTGAAACAGATATTTTGTCTTATTCCAACATAAATAACATCGCAGATTATAAGCTTGACATATTTTCTCGCGGAATAAACTTATTTTATGAACGTTTATGTTTAGTTTCATTTTCAGAGGACATCTAGATATAAAAAAGTAATTTTTGAGCTCCTCCCTCTTTTCAACTGCCAAAAATAAAAATAAATTCTGGAAAGACCTTACTTATTATATTCTTTCGCTTCCTGTTTTTTTTAAAGAGTCTTTGCATGAACCAATATGTCTAAAATAGAAATAAGTAAATGCATATTTCATGTGAAGAAAAGAAAAAAAGTCAAAACGTAAGTGAAGTTTAAGAAAAATGGCGTTTGAAAATAAAACAGCATTTATTTAGCTGCTCGAAGAGATAAAACGTTATCCATTCAATATAATCTTCAATTATTTCTATTCCACATTCATATTCAACTAATTCGTTCAATTTTGTTTCTCTGTCAAAATGCTCTTGAAAACTTGCCAAGTTTCAAAGTTTTCTTGCAAATTATGTGAAAAAAGCAAAATATTCATAGTGAATTGTCTGAACATCCAGAAATAGTAAGCTGGTAAACTCTTCTTCGTGCCATCTAAATTTATCAGTTTTGATGCCCCTTCACCCCTTTTTCTAGATCTTCTTGATGTGTGATCCCTATATAATAAAAATTATGAAGAAAATAATCATAATGAAAACAAATACAAGTAAATATAAATCTTGAAAGATCATCTTAACATCGAAAGAGAGCATACTATTTTCAATACTATTGATATAATACCTAAGATTATTATAAAATGGAATCAATCAACAGATATTGCACTAGCATGTCATTTGAAAAAATGTTTCTAAACAGTATAGAATCGTTCGAAAAAAGGGGTTTGAATAGTATATAAAATGATATATTTAAATTCAGAGAAAAATTTAGTAGATTCAACGAGACTTATAAAATACTATATGTATATGATAAATCTCATATCGGATGATATATTCTCTACTGGTTTGTCAAGTACTTTTTATCATAATGTCACAAAAATACTCATGAAACTAGATTTTTTCCATCAAAAAATGGAAGAGAAATAAACAAAACAGTTGACAAAATTGCTTTTCTATCTGGCTCTCTCATATCTTCCAAGTTCATTGAACCTAGTCACGAAGAACATTCGATCGTGAATTTTATGCAATAATTTACAAAGACACACCATATCCAACTTCCGTTCCGTATTAAGAAAATTATATGATAATTGATAACCTATGCGGTGGAAACTATGATAACTAAGGCCGCTTTCAAAATAAAAATTGGCATGAAATCATAATCAATTCTGTTTTTTTTTAAAAAGCAACAAACATCAGTGAGGAAATTAGACATGAGACTTTACTGTAGTTATGTAATTAAAAAGTCAAGTATTATAAAAATTCTTCTAAATAATATTCTCAATTAAAAATAGGTAAATTTTTTTTTTGCTCTATCAATATATTTTAATTTACATTCGCTCTTCGTATAATTCAATTTGGTTTGTTTTTATCTAATCACTGTTTAGATTGGAAAGTACTGATTGAATAGTAGATGAGATTTAGCAAATTCTATCAATTCTTCCTTTTGTTATTAATTGCATATTAGTCTTAATCGATTAGTTCGAGTTGCACTATCAATTCTTGCTGATATAAAAGATTTAATTTGTCAATCAGTAACAAGTCTGAAAGTTACATCCTATTCAAAAATTCCATTAATGATTTAATTGATGAAAATAGAGAAAACGGGTTTATAAACGAAAAATATCTAAAGTGGAAGAAGAATTAAAAGTAAATAGAAAGTTCTTTGTCTTTTTTCATTAAAATTCTCGTTAAAAATTTTGATTTTAAGAAGATCGATGGAAGAAAAACAGCAAATGTACGTCTAAAAAGAAACAAATACCGCATTAATTCCTGTTATTAGTAAAATTTCCAGATGATCAAAAGAAAAA